TAATTTGATAGCGTAAAGTGACCTGCACGTTCCAGAGTGGTTTACAACTTATACCATGGATAATATTTAGACATGGTTCAAAGGGCAATAAAACAGTAAAGTTTAATTATAATTGAATGTAGTTTTGTTACAAATTGATATTCTAGAAAGAAAAGGTTAATTTAGATTTTTTCAGTGGTTACGAGGTCGGTCAAATTGACCATTCCCATTTTCAGATAGGGTAGATAAAATAAACTATAAGGATTTAGTAAAAAAAGTTTGAAATGCATTTAGGACGTTTTAGGGATCACACAAAAGTACTGCCCAATTTTTGAGATGAAATGTATTTAATTTTAACATTAATTACCTTTCACACGTACTGTTTAAAACAAATATTCAATATATTCATGGACAAATTTTTTTTATTACTTTATTAAAAATACTTCACTAAGAAATAAGTTTTTGTATGTGAAAAACTTATAATATTAACAGAAAGACTGCCAAACTTTGTGAAGATGTACCCAATATGTAGTTAAGTATTAAATTTATTTCAACTTTAATGGAGTACAGAATGTCACGCGACTTTAAAATTGACCGACCCCATGTTGAATGTCAACAAGATGTTTTTTATAGTATTAAGAACTGTACGGAAACAAATCCAAGTTCCATGGTTACTTACCAGTCAGAAATATTCATCTTCAACAGTTTCAACATTATTTTTACTACAAGCTCACCATCTGGAAAACAGTTAATAACCATGGAGTTAGTTAATACAGTAAACTAGCAACACTAACTTCAAGACTTGTTTTCTGTTAAAAGTGAATGGATAAACAAGTTTTACAAGTCCATTGTTTCAAGCATTTCCAACAATATACATTAAATTGTTCTTACGTTAAAATCCAAGTCACTAAAACTAATTTTGGAACAATATAACAAGTATTTCAGCTGAAATCTTATACAAGACAGCTTTCTGGGGTCAATGGGAGAATTATAAATCAAGTTTCATAATTTAATAAATCAATTCAACCATGTCCAAACACTGAATTTCATGACCTAATACACAAATACTAATTCACTGATCATTAACAAAATGACAGCACTAAAACAGAAGACAAGATGTTTCAATGTTCTGGGAAATTCAGACCATTAGAAACTAAATCCTACAAGAACAAACAAGTTTACATTCCAAAAGTAAAATAGATTCTGTGTCAGAGTACCAGCAAGTAGTAATAACTATTATTATTAACAAGACCAACAAATATGTAAAATCTTGTTTAGTACTAGAATCATTATAGTGAAGATAGTTTTATGTTGTGACAAAATATAAAACAGGGCAACTGATAATCAAATAACATCTGTGGCAGGTTTGGTGTCCGATTCACACAGATTGAACCAAGGCATAAGACCCAGCACCTTTGATGTACGAGGCTACAAACAGCACCCTAACATTTTAAAACTTTGAAGGGAGACTCTTGCCTCAAACAGTTTCAACAGTTAACTGATGAACAAATAACATCTGTGGCAGGTTTGGTGTCCGATTCACACAGATTGAACCAGGGCATAAGACCCAGCACCTTTGATGTACGAGGCTACAAACAGCACCCTAACATTTTAAAACTTGGAAGGGCGACTCTTGCCTCAAACACTATTAACAGTTTTTACAGTAAAAATTTACATTTAAGACAAACCAAGAAACACCTGCTAACTCTACCTGTACTTGGAGATTTTGTAGTTACATTCTAAAAGTATGTTATCTTAAGACTCTCCAAGAACTGTTCTGATATTTTGGAATACACACGAGTCAAAAACATTTACCAATAGATGTAAAGATCAGATGTTTTATCTTGAATTACTCTGATGTTCACACTGACCTTTATCATCTTCCATTCCTAGCTACATCAGTTTTCTTCCAGTTTAACTGAAGATCCTTCCACAATAGCAACTTTCTGAAGATGTTGATATCCTGCCAATAGAATTATAGCAGAAAATTTTAAATTCACATTAAAAACAAAATACATGATTTGGTGATATTTATTTTTATCTGTAACTCTCAACAGGATACACAAGCGTAAAACGAGGCTTGAGAGTTTTAAGAGAGTCTTCATTTCTCCTCCAAGAGGCCAGAGTAGAGATAATCTCTAACCAGGCGAAGTAAGAGGATTGTTTTAAACTGTTAAGAATTCAAAAATTAGCTTAAAACATTGTTTTTGTTGCACAGAAACAGTTAACCCTATCACCACAGGTACCATTTACTGCACAACACAAGGTTTTAGTGTTTTAAATTCAAAATTTTATTAAACTACTTTGTTTGTTATACCAATTAGAGTAGCATAAAATGTTAGGTAATAATTCATATTTTAATAGTATACAAGTTAAGTTCTTAATTCTACAAGGAAATATATTAAAAAAATCCAAATTTCCACTAGATTAGGTAAAACAAGTAATAAAGTTATTCACAAGGCAACTCTTGGGTAATGTAATTTGATAGCGTAGTGACCTGCACGTTCCAGAGTGGCTTACAAGTTATAATAACATGGATAATAGTTAGACATGGTTCAAAGGGCAATAAAACAAAATCTAATTATAATTAAATGTAGTTTCATATTACAAATTGATATCATTCTAGAAAGAAAAGGTTAATTTAGATTTTTTTGGTGGTTACGAGGTCAGTCAAATTGACCATTCCCATTTTCAGATAGGGTAGATAAAATAAACTAAGGATTTAGTAAAAGTTTCAAATGCATTTAGGACGTTTTAGGGATCACACAAAAGTATTCCACAATTTTTGAGATGAAAAAAAAAGTATTTAATTTTAACATTAATTACCTTTCACACGTACTGTTTAAAACAAATATTCAATATATTCATGGACAAATTTTTGATTACCTTATTAAAAATACTTCACTTAGAAACAAGTTTTTGTATGTGAAAAACTCGTAATATTAACAGAAAGACTGCCAAACTTTGTGAAGATATACCCAATATGTAGTTAAGTATTAAACTTATTTCAACTTTAAAGGAGTACAGAATGTCATGCGACTTTAAAATTGACCGACCCCATGTTGAATGTCAACAAGATGTTTTTATAGTATTAAGAACTGTACGAAAACAAATCAAATTTCCATGGTTACTTACCAGTCAGAAATATTCATCTTCAACAGTTTCAACATTATTTTGACTACAAGCTCACGATCTGGAAGACAGTTAATAACCATCGAGTTAGTTAACACAGTAAAGTAGCAACACTAACTACAAGACTTGTTTTCTGTTAAAAGTGAATGGATAAACAAGTTTTACAAATTCATTGTTTCAAGCATTTCCAACAATATACATTAAATTGTTCTTGCGTTAAAATCCAAATCACTAAAACTAATTTTGGAACAATATAACAAGTATTTCAGCTGAAATCTTATACAAGACAGCTTTCTGGGATCAATGGAAGAATTATAAATCAAGTTTCATAATTTAATAAATCAATTCAACTATGTCCAAACACTGAATTTCATGACCTAATACACAAATACTAATTCACTGATCATTAACAAAATGACAGCACTAAAACAGAAGACAAGATGTTTCAAAGTTCTGGGAAATTCAGACCATTAGAAACTAAATCCTACAAGAACAAACAAGTTTACATTCCAAAAGTAAAATAGATTCTGTGTCAGAGCACCAGCAAGTAGTAATAACTATTATTATTAACAAGACCAACAAATATGTAAAAACTTTTGTTTAGTACTAGAATCATTATAGTGAAGATAGAGGGTTTTATGTTGTGACAAAATATAAAACAGGGCAACTGATAAACAAATAACATCTGTGGCAGGTTTGGTGTCCGATTCACACAGATTGAACCAGGGCATAAGACCCAGCAACTTTGATGTACGAGGCTACAAACAGCACCCTAACATTTTAAAACTTGGAAGGGCGACTCTTGCCTCAAACACTATTAACAGTTTTTACAGTAAAAATTTACATTTAAGACAAACCAACAAACACCTGCTAACTCTACCTGTACTTGGAGATTCTGTAGTTACATTCTAAAAGTATGTTATCTTAAGACTCTCCAAGAACTGTTCTGATTATTTTGGAATACACACGAATCAAAAACATTTACCAATAGATGTAAAGATCAGATGTTTTAAATTACTCTGATGTTCACACTGACCTTTATCATCTTCTTCTATTCCTAGCTACATCAGTTTCCTTCCAGTTTAACTGAAGTTCCTTCCACAATAGCAACTTTCTGAAGAGGTTGATATCCTGCCAATAGAATTATAGCAGAAAATTTTAAATTCACATTAAAAACATTAAACATTCACATTAAGTTCATGATTTGGTGATATTTATTTTTTTTATCTGTAACTCTCAACAGGATACACAAGCGTAAAACAAGGCTTGAGAGTTTTAAGAGAGTCTTCATTTCTCCTCCAAGAGGCCAGAGTAGAGATAATCTCTAACCAGGCGAAGTAAGAGGATTGTTTTAAACTGTTAAGGAGTAATATCGTTTATTACAGTCAAGTTAAAACTAACATTCACACTATTCTGTTCCTGTTGTATAGAATAATTAACAGTTAACAACACGAGTACCAAGAACTGTACGAAAACAACTCAAAGTTTACTTACTACAGTGAAATCTTCATCTTCAGTCAACATTATTCTTACTATAAGATCACCATCTGGAAAACAAACAGCAGCTAATAAAATATCGTTAAGTGTATTATATCCTTCCAATATCATAATTATATTTAATAAGCTGTATCTCCCGACAGGATTCTCAAGAAATAGCATCATATCTTGAAAGTTTTACAGGAGAAATCTATGTCTCCTCCAAGTGGCCAGAAGAGATGCATACTCTAATCAGGCGAAGCAAGGAGGATTCATTTCTACAGAAATCACATAACTAAGGCAACAGGTTCTTCTTATGGCTACATCTATGGATTGCACAAACCATCAAAGTCCTCAGTTATTTGCTTTCTAACTTTTATTTCCTTGTTAACTATTATTTTTTGAAAGTTCTATAGTTACAAATTGATTTAAAAAAAATAACTGTCCCTAGTACTAAACATTCCTTTACCATGCCAAGCCTAATTTGGCAAAATAATGGGGAATTGAGCTCAGTTTTGGATAAAAAATACCTGACCAATTGGACCTAGTTATCTATCAAAAGACAGGTTAGTTTGCTTTCTTCATTTAGATACATTTATTTATTTATTTTATTTTTTATATGGATACACTACTTGAAAACATGAGACATTTCTGAATGACTACCCAATTCTTTAAATCAACCAATCCAGGTTATTTTTGATTAATTACCTACATCTTTCCACCAACCAAATTTACCACCTTTGTCTTGAGTTCGGACATTCGGGAGCTTTACCCTCCCACAATCAAATGTCCGCATAGCAACAGAGACAAAGAAACGGAGATTTCGTTCGTTCTTTACACTTACTCGTTATCTAGACTCGTGTTCGTAACGATTGTTTTTGTTCCAAACCAGTAAATATAGTGAAGACCTGAAATTTCTTTATATTTGCTACCAAAAATCAAGCTAGCGAATTTGAAAAGTGTGTTGTGTATGAAAATGAAAGCGGTTGATAAACCGCGAATAAAAAGGAAAGATGCAATACCCAAAGTGTGACTGTTATAAACATGCGTGTTCATTTCATTTTATATAATGTAAATTATTTTCATTGTTTTTTTTAAACATTGTAACTAAATGTTCGGGTACTGTACACTGGGCAGTCCTATCGGTCGTTAATCCACAAGTGGGTAGTGTTGGTTAGGACACGAAACCCTAACTAATTGTAATTGCAGTATTTACTAGATTATATTCGTGTTGATAAAACACTGCAATTGATAATTTCACTATTAAACAACAATATATGAACGATAATTGCAGTTATCACACAGCAGACATGCAAGTTACGTACATGCTATTGTCTGCCTTCCACTTTTTCAAGATGGCGATCGCGCTACCAGTTAAAATCACGACTGTGACACCACGTGACCAAAAACATTATATTACAAACCTCTGTCTTAATTTTCTAAATTCATTTTCTAGTGTACCCTTACCAGTATCAAGGCAATGCACGCTAGCATTTTTTTTTTCGGTGCGTGGGTATTTTTAGACTAATCAACCCTTCTGAACTATTTGGCCACTTTGCAATGTTACCAATACCAGACGGTTATTTGGGCTTCAACTTTTAAGCCTATCGACTGCCAGGGTAAAGGCCGTCAACGTGTTGAGACTCCTCACCATTACTGAGAATTTGCGCATTTAATTGGTTGTTGTGCGCCTGCGCAGAATAGTACTATCACTAGGACTACTTGCCACGTAAACAAAATTATTGACGCTTTTGATTGCGTATACGAATGCTTTTTCAACTTATATTTTTCTAACTACACTATGAAAAAAAAATACTAAAGTAAATCCACTTTAAGTTGTACATACGTATTTGAATAACTTATTCTGAAGTTATATTCTGAAGTTATTGAATTTGATTTCGAACAGCTGCAACTGAATTAGCCATTGTATAGTTTTAATATTGGAGTCCCTTTTTAAATCAAATCTGGTACTTTCACGTTTAGGAAATTAGGGTATATTATAATGTTTCATTTTCAGTTTAGGAACTTGAGCGTATGCCATTATAATATAAATATTTTATAAACATAAAATAACTAAGTAAGTTAATAAGTGAAGATAAATGTAATTTAGAAGTTGTTTTAACGTAAGCAATGTTCCCTCTAGAGCACTAGTAATAATATAACTTAGAAGCTAGGTTGAAAAATTCCAAAGTGAATCAAATTGAAGTACAATTAATTTACTTGTAGTTTAAAAAAAATCATCCAACAAAAATCATTATAAATCCTATTATAGCATGAAACTGTTATGTTAACATGATAAAATCTATAACTGTATCTACAACGACAATTAAAATAAACCAACAATAACAACTCACATACTTACCACCACAATCAGACGAAGTAACTTAGAAAGAGAAATTTTCTTGCATCCCAAAAGCTTTTATACCACATTTTACCAATAGACGGCAGTAGTGTATAAATATATGATAAATATCTGTAAAATATATAATATAGGTGTTAACTAATTTTTTTTCTAATTATTGTATTTATAAACTTCAATCAAAATAACAGAAGCAAAATTTTGTCATTGACTTAAAAATATTTCAGTATTACCTATGAACAGAAATTCCCTACGTCAACAATATTTTATTTAGTTTATGAAACAGTAGTATAATCACATCGCAATATGGGCTAAACTGTACAGAAATAATTTCTGAACTAACTAAAAAAACTACATAAATAAAGGGCATCATTGGCTCGGACTTATAACACTCGGGTTTCAATACCTGTAATGGGCACATCATATATATAAACCATTTGTAGCTTTGCGCTTAAATAGAAACAAAGAAAACTAGAATAACATTTTTGAAACTAAAATTTTCTAACTTAAAATTCACATGAATGTCGACAATTAGGAAATTCTAAATTAAATATATATATAATAAATGTAGTACAAGTTTATTATTATCAGAGGCGTCCCTAAGCGCTGACACATGGGGCCCGTGCCCCGATTATATTAAATAGTGTCCCGAATTTTCAGTTTGTGTCTTCGAAAATCGTAATAGAAAACCATGATTGATAAAATACTGAAACGCCTAAAATTCCAGATCCTCGAAACTTTCATTAAGCACCTAGTGACTCCTCTGACTATTATATTCTATGAACCTATGAGTGACTTGGTTTGTTTTGAATTTCGCGCAAAGCTACCCGAAAGCTATCTGCACTAGCCGTCCTTAATTCAGCAGTGTAAGATTAGAGGAAAGGCAGCTAGTTATTACCACCAACCGCCAACTCTTGGACTAGTCTTTTACCAACGAATAGTGGAATTGACAGTCACATTTTAACGCCCCCACGGCTAAAAGGGCGACCATTTCGTGGGACTGGAAATTCAAACCGAGCCCCACAGATTGCGAGTAAAGCGCCCTAACCACCTAGCCATGCCTGGCTCTAAAACCTATGATTGAAAGCAAATAATATGGAACAACAAACGCAGGAGAGGGAGGTTCAGTCGAACTCCGTATTTTTGTGATGTTAAAAACTATGCTTATATAGTTATAGCGGAGCTGTTTATCTTATTTAACACTTTTGAATCTACATAGTCTACATACTTCGAATGAAGCATTAGCATATTTTTGGCTTAAAGTAAGCGCTTTACCCCAGACCCACATAGCATCAGCATTCTTCGCATGCTGAGTGTGCTTCGCACAATGTGTTAGCTTTTGATCTCACAAATAACCCACTCTTCATACATTCTGTGTAAGGGCTTGAACAATATTTCAACTGTGATTTTTTTTTGTAGACAGTATTAGATCTTTTAAAGCTAAATAATGATAATAATGTATGAAATGTAAGCCGATTCAAGTACCTATAATGTATAAATACAGATTGTTTTAAATCATTATTTGACTACCTCTGTCGTTACAACTTAGAGATATAATTTGTCGTTAACTTGTTCTTTTGTTTTCACTCGTGTATGTTTCTTTATTACACGTTACTTTTATCAGTCATTGGGATTATAGCACTTTAGCATCATATCTTTTTAATATTTTATTTTAGCACTACAATTACATTTCTTTTATTAAGTTACTGATATATTTTCCCCGCAAGATAGACTATATATATATATATATATGAAATAAATATCGAAACGTTAATAAAAACTCTAAATACATTTTAACAATATAGTACTCAAGGGGAGTCATTCAGATTAAAACTCTGATTTCATAGAAACAATTACCCATCCTCTTTCAATTTCTGTGACTTTTTCTCCAGTCAGTAGTTTAAAAATATGTGGGATATATAATGAATTTAATTTACATTTTATTTATGGTAATTATTAGAAAGTTAGTTTTATAATTATTAAAAGTGGTTTAATCTGTTTTATACGTTTCAACAGAAATTAAATTAATAATTATAACTAAATCTGTGCGAGTTAACACTTTGTTTCAAATAATAGCATGAGATATATATATCTTTTAGGTGAGAACGCTATTATATCGATAGTATTCGGTAAAGAAAACGTGAAATAATGAAAATAGTAATTTGTTATTAATCTTTACTAATTCATTATTAATATTATTCTCTTGGTGTTTAGTCCGCTTTATTTAATTTTCATATATGGATACTAGAAAAGTGTTTTGTATAAGTATGTATACTTCTATTATCTTGTGTTTGTGTGGAAAACACAAGTAAATAACCCGAGGGAAAATGGCGTCAGCTCTGAACTGGATTCCTGATTCTCTTTATAATTCAAGTATTTCTGTGGTCGTGTGTCATTATGGAAGGTTTCAGACAGATCTGCGAATTTGCCCAAAGAACGTACAGTTTGATGTTTTTTATAAAGTAAGCGAACCTTTTATTTATAGCAATACATTTACATACCTAATACGGTTCGCTCAATGTTAAACAAATCACAGCCACAACTGATATAGAATTAGAATATAGGTCGTTATTATTAGGAATTTCGTTGAACTTTAACATAAGGTTAACTTATTTTTGCAAACGGATGGTGAAATATATTTTTGATTACATGTATTAAAGTAAGAAAATAACGCGCTTCTATTTTTTCCTAACGAAAAGAGCCCACTTTAATTTTTAAGAAATTTGGAAAATTATATTAATTAGAAAGTCAAAGCAACTGTTAATGTTCTGGATAACTAGTAGTAGTATTTGTAAATTGTTCTATTGTAACGATTACTACTATTAATAGTACAGATGGGGGGGGGGGGCAGTAGGCGTGTGCCTCCCAATAATTTCTAAACAACAGGCTATGTAAAACATGTAACTAAATATTTTTATTATTACTGTATTGGTATTTTAAACATATATAATATTAAATATATATAATGTTATGTATTAAATTTTATCCTACTGAAACGTTAATAATTTGTGTTCATTTACAAAACGAAGCTACTATTGACTGTATTATGTACGAGTCATGTTTTTTTGCAAGAATTGTCTTTGGAAAAATTGAAAAAAACAACTCGGTGGTTATCTATAAAATTGATTTTAAGTATACATGTATGTATCATGGAACAGACAACACAAGCTTCCCCAAGTGGTGATGTACAGATATTAATATTGTGAGAGATTCTGTAGTTTTCTTGTAGTAGCTTGTCACAGGAGATGTAACTTTAGTCTAACTATAAATAAATTGGCTTTCTTTGACTCTGGTTGTAGCAATGTTTTGTATTAGTCCGTTACAAAATGTATTCTGATGTTATTTGCTTCTTTTAGCAAAAGCAAATATTGGTGTCATTTCCAAATAATCATACATATGTATATGTATTATACATACTAAATTTATTCACACATAATAATTGCTTAAATGTATTGTTTTTTTTCCAATAGGTAAAGTATAACCTATATGTGTGTTATCTTTGATTTAATTATGGTATCAAGCTCTGTGTAAGAATTGCAGATTTATGAAGGTATATCTCATGTTTTCTCAAAAGTACAAAATTAATTTGATTTTTTTCAGCTTTGTGCTTGTTTTCATAATAGTATTTTCAAACTAGAAAAAAAACTCATTGGTTAAATACGATACTCACATAATGGTGACTATGTTTATGTAATGAAAATTGTGAACATTTAATACTAGTCCTAAGTAAAATAACATCTATTTAAAAATTCAGGACAGTACTTTATAAAACTAACTTCTTTTTTTGGGATGGGTGGCATGCTAGTTAGCATCATTTGAATTCAATCAACTTTTGTTTTCATACTTTGCTCTGTTATTACATAGGATTGTAATATTTGTTTCATAAATAACTTTAAATTAAAATACATGATAATACTTATTAATATTTTTTTCTACAAAAACACCTAAAAGCAAGGTAAATTTAACTCTTTAAGGTTGAGGTACGCAACAAAAAACTTTCAACTCTCCTTATCCTGAATACTTAAAAAGAACAAGCTAAAGTCAAAAATGAATTAAACATTACCTATCAGTATCTAACAAGAAGTTAAACAATTGACACAGACATATACACACACACACATGCAACCCTTCCATCTGTAAGTTTATAGCTATATAGTAGAGAATAATGACCTGCTTTTGAAATCTTAAAAGTAGAACACACTCGTATTTTGATTTCTTAATGCTGTCCATTCTCTTTCATGCAGAAAAATATAAACAGTCAGTTATGCAGCTAATAAATATAGTGAAAAGGATATTTTTATTTCCATTACTGTTGCCGCAGATGCCTTTCTGACAAATCAGTTTTTTTGAGAAACTTCTTGTATTTGTTAGTTAATTCTGAACAACCGCTGTAATGTTCACTTTTGAGATACTTTAAATAAATGACTTCATGACACGAAAAATGATATCAGCACATGCTATTTGCTGTCAACTGTTTCTTTGTTTTGATGTGAAAAAAACACATTTACAGTGTCAGATTTATTTTGTTGTATCCAATAATGACATCACATCATCTAGTACATCCTGTCATATAACCAACCCAAGGAAAGCAAGTGGATGCTCTATTTTGTTGTATCCAATAATGACATCACATCATCTAGTACATCCTGTCATATAACCAACCCAAGGAAAGCAAGTGGATGCTCTATTTTGATGT